ATCATGTCCAAGCTGATCGTCGGGTAATGCGTATAGCAAACGACTTTGCACCCGAACAATCGGGCAATCGGGTAAGTGAAAGCGTACCCGCTCGTGTCGAAGTAATAGAGAGGAGTGAAGCTCGATAGCGCTTCCCAGGAGAGAAGAATCGAGCCCAAGCTCTGGCCGATCATGGTGAATCGAGGGTACGTGGATTCCTCGACCCATTTCCTCTTGTAGAGATGCACCGCCTTCGGCGGGCGGAGCAATTGGACGCCGAATCGGTCGGTGGCGCGGGCGGCGAGGGATTGAGGGGAGGCGTCGTGATCGCCGGTGTAGACGATGCAATCGATATCGGGGATCTCTTCCTGTATCGCTTTGACGGCGCACCAGAGGACTCGTTCGCCTCCGCCACCGTCGTTGGTGTAAGGGTGGAAGAAACCGATCGCTCTCTTCCGGTGGCGACGGGAGTTAAGAATGCGGGAGGCGAGGAAGGTCGAGATGGCGATGAGGAAAGATGTGAGTAGAGAGACGGCGAGGAGAATCCCGCTCGCCATTGTTGGGTTTACAGAGAGAAAGATCCCCTCCAGATTTTAATTTTTGTAACTTTCTATGCATTCCCTTGGGTTCGTTTGCGTTTCGTTTAGTCTTGCTTGCCGTTTTCACCAGTCTCTCTTCCGCAATACAATTTCTAGGGGTGGGTCGGGTCGGGTTGTGGTTTTTAACAGTCTCTCTTCTGCAATACGTTTTCTAAGCAAAATTGCAACACAGACGAGCTCTATCATATCAGGCTAACACGAAAGTCTTAAATAGTGTTCCGTTCTGTCATCTGCAAGACGCACACATCGATGAAGCGAGTTTCGCAGGAGAGACGACAACCATAGCCTGACTTGCTACAACACCCCCATAACAGAATGACAAAATGATTGAAGAATACAGAAACATGAGCATAGATGAACAACACTGTAAATTGTAAAATCAATATTCCCTCCCGAGTTCCCGTCAGTACCGAACACTACAACTTATATCGAACCTTTTGATGATTGTAGATGACGGAACAGTATTTTCGATAATATACAGGCCACCCAGAGATATACAATACCAACTTGATTGTGAATATCCTGTGCCAACCTCCCTAAGGCAAATGCTGACATTTCCTTAAGTTGCACATCTGAAGCCTGAGAGCATACCCATCAACGGCGAACGATGTGTACCTTGCAATCAGAATCTGCAGTAGCAAATTGACCCGGTTTCAAGGCTGCTCCTCATTGGCTCTCGGGACAAGTGGATCTGAGTAGATTAAACAGATTGCACAGCTTCAGCAAGAAGAAACTTTCGCATAATATTTGGAAATGAATGCACAAGATTCCCGATTACACCAACTGCTTCAAAATGTATTTTTGTATCCTCGGACTCGAGCACGAATACAATAGTACCCTCTGGCACTACCATGGAGAGAATTGGTGTTCACAATTGTTTTTCATTCTCCACGTGAATGACAACATACCTTGATCACCAGTCATGGAGTCTTCAGGTAAGGGAACAGGACATTTTTTATTGATTGGATTGATGGTCTTCAGGTAAGGGAACAGGACATTTTTGATTGATTGGATTGATGCTCTTGAACTCGTTAGAGGCTTTCAATTCCTCCCCAAGCTCGCCGTCGTGAAAAGTTACCTAACATGAAGGGAAAAATACAACTCATGACATTTCCAATATGAAAACCCAAAAGATAGAAATGCAATTGGTAGTGATGCTACCAGAAGGGCTCGAAGGCAATAGTGGGGAACCATACCTCTGTGTAGCGGCTCAGAAGCACTTGAAAGAAGTTGATTAAATACTCCCATTTTGATTATATACGGGTATGGATTCTTAATCATCATGCACTTTTCTCCGACAAAATCAACTCGACAACTTCCTTTACAAAGCCGAGAAAGCAATCTCTGCAAAGCTTGGAATCAAAATAGCAATACCGTTACTACATTTTGCGATCTCCTCAGTGTGCTTGCACACAGGGCTAGGGATTGAACGCACGGCTCTTCTTGAATGCTCCAAGCCACATGCTGCTAAAATTGTATGCGTGGAGACCCTTGCTACTTCCTTGAATCTCTCTACCCTAAATGTTTGCCACCGCTCAAAAGCTTTAAGTTGAGCTTCACAAGTGACTGGATCTCTGTTTTTGCCTCATCATCCTGCCCTCTGTCACCAACAGCAACAGCCTTATGGGATGCAACATTCCCATTAACGACACCTGCCTTTGTGGGGGTTAATGCAGAGGTTTGCAAAGACCCTGGTAATACTGCAGTTGACAAACAGGATGCTCCATTCTTCTTATCCACGCGACTCTTGGAACCACTTCCAACTAGTTTCCGGGAAACTCATTATGTCTGTTCTCATGAACAACATTTGAACCAGCAGAGGAAGATGCCACTGAGAGTCTGCAGCTAGGCCCCGCACTATCTTTCGTGGTTACTTTTACATGCTTTTGCATATTGGAGTGAGCCTTTTGTGTACAGTTGAGGGTACCTGTTTCTCGGTTTTTCCCCGGGAATAAAGCTCATGTGTTCCAGGAGTGGCACCTCGGCACTCCTTAGTCCCAAGTTCGTGGGTTTTTGAGGAATGCAATCTCAAGCTTCTATTATCAGCTTCTTTTGAAGTACTCACCCTGACTGAAGGACATTTAGATACCTGCTGCATACTTTTCGTGCCTCTTTGACATGCCAATTGTACCGATTTTGCCTGAAGCATCATTTTCCAAGCTTTATCTATGTCATCAGATCGTGTTTCTTGACTAGCACTAGCAGTGCCAGGAGAATCGTTCGTAACCCCAAGTTGCTGGGCATTCGACGTAGGCAAGCAATTTTGCTCAGGCAAAACAGCAGCTGAACTTTGTCCTGCATTGCTACTGCTATTAATCGATTCATTTGAACGGAATCTCAAGGACCCACTTCGCAACCCATCCCAATTCTCACGGATGAGCGTATGTAAGTGTGCACATTACGACATCCTGTCAGCGTTCTAGCCCCATTTTCAGCAGCTGCATTATCTGCCACATTCCGGTTTCCTAACGTACTTTCATCTAGCTCAGTATGGGTGGCACTTCTTTTACCTGGTCTAGTAACTTCTTGCACTCTCCGCTTCCGCCACCTACTAGGCATACACCAATCTTGCTCGTGTACTAGATCACGATAGAAACACTTGCTTCTTCTGTCTCCCTCCCACTAGAGGTTTCACCTGCATCATTGTCCTCGTCAGTAGGCTGCTTGTCCCTCAAAACGCTAGATTCGCCATCTAGCTTTCCTTCCAAATCTCTACTGCCACAAACATCATCATCATTATCTGGTTGAATGCTATCATGTTCAGTCCTAGAAACAGAACAATCATGGCAAAACCAATCCCCATCTGGCACAGTGGCACCGAGGCCTACGCAGAAGGTGTGAGACGCAGAATCACAAAGATCGCAAAGCAGTAATAAATTCTCCTCGTGTGTACCATGGCATACAGCGCATTCAACATGAGCAAAAGGATCAAAAGGCCGATCCCCCGCGACGACGCCATACTGATTGCGCTCGGGGACAGGAACGACGCGCTCGGTACGGAAAACGCCAGCTTTGGAAGGTCTGCGAATGGCGGTGAACCTGCGCTTGCACATAGGGCAACGAGACTCGATCTTCGCCCACTCCATGATGCAAACGAAGCAGAAGTAGTGATCACAGCTGTCGATGAAGCCTCTGATTGCTTTCCCGCCGTCGGACCAGCAGATTCCGCAGCATATAGAGGAATCCCCGCCATCCGTCGGCATAGGTTGCTTCCCTTTGGTTTCTGATCCGGATTCTGCCTCGCCGATGTCTTCGATGCCCGTCGAACTGGAAATCAGGGTTTTGAGGCGCTTGTTTGGGGATGAAACGACTGTGGGTGGCGGAGAGCCTGAGCCACTCTCCATCAGGTAGATGCTTAGTTGCCGCAGTTCCTCTCCGTCGCCGGATACTCCCCGGGAATTGCCGGCCTCTAATTTCTCAGGTTATCTCCTTTATTCTAAAAATAGGGCAAACTAACCGCTTGCAGTTATAAGTTTTATAACTATTTCCCCTCCTCCTCTTCCTCTTCCATAAGTTTTCCGCAATACGTTTCCATGGGTCATTGTAAGAAGAAAAAAAACGTTTCTAGGAGTGGGTGGGGTTAATTTTGGTTAATCAAAAACCAAACCAATAACTCGGCTTTGGTTGTTCGGCGAAATCAGGAATTTGTTCAGATTACATGAACTCTTCATGCTTTCTTACAAAATGTTATGAAATTATAGCCAATTCTACATCACATGTAGCTTGGTTTGGCGCACGCGAGTGTTGCAACTTGCGACATAATCTAGTTCGTCAAAAAGAGTTTAAGGAGAGAGAACAACCAGGGCCTGACCTAACGGAACGACAAAGTGATAGAATGCGAAAGGTTGAATGTAGTAAACTATACAGTAAAATCAATGACTTGCAAAGAACCTTCATAGTAGGAGAACCGAAGGTGGGATAGACAGAAGAAAAAGTATTTCCGGCAATGTACCAACTCGAGAAAATCCAACCAAAGGAAACAAGAAATGGCTTCAACCAACATATATCTCTTAAAGTGTTAGCAGAAACAGAAATTGCACATGCCAAAAGAGTAATGAGAATACAGGCAATGTCAGAAATGGCAAATTATGGAACTAAACCAAAGTCGATTACAAATGGGACTGTCTTTGTACTGGGGAGCGGAAACTCCGAAAATTCGTATAAAAAGACCACCTAAGCAAATCAAGGAAAAGAAACAAGGACAACAGAGCAAAAAAAGAGTTAATACAGGTCCCAGAAGATTGTCTACTTGTACTCTCCTACCAGCAGGAGAAGAAAAAAAACTTGCCCTTTCCCTAAGAACAAAGAATATTACAACACTTATCCACAAAAACAACCAAAACTATAAAGGACCCCTCACAGAGAAAAGTGGCAAATTATTAATCCAATTACACCTTCATATATGTTCCCCAGAACTCCCACCTACAATGCAAACGTCAAAATCCCGACCACCCCTACATATGAAGGCGCTGACAAAGCCAGCCATATGACACCACCAGAATAGCAACTACCGACTGCTTCCCTCTTCGAAAGGTGCTGCTCTGCAAACCGCAAAGATAACTCGGAGCTAATTTCTACAAAAAGCACGGCCCCAGTCAAAAAATCAATAGTTCCCCATTGGAGGCATCCCAAACTGCTGCATCGGGGGCATTCCCATCCCGCCCATCTGTGGTGGCATGAAACCGCCAGGCATCCCTGGCCCACCCATACCGGCATTGGAGGTGCAGGCAATGCAAGGGGAAGCAACTGGGCATACATGTTCTGCAAAGGGAAATCAACCAGTCAGAGATCCGAAATCATTTAAGCTTCAGAAAACAATCTCCGGGAGTTTCTGCGTTAGCTAAGGAAACTCGATGTCAAAATACAGTGCTCAATAGAGCTGTAGCTCTTTACTATAGGAGGAAACTTGAGGTCTTATTATGTGCAAGTCGAGTCTTTACCTGCTGGGCAATCACATCCTTCTCTTCCTGTTCCTTGGCCTTAACTTCCTTCTGAGCCTCGAGTTTGTCTTTTACAAGCTCGTCAACTTTGCCGGTGTATTCACGAATGAACTGCAAGGAAGAAGCTACGTAAATACAGTGAACACCAAACAATACTATACAGTGCTCATATCGAGACTTGAAAAGATACTGGTTCCCTATTCGCGGCAAATTGTAACCCAAATCCGACAACTATATCCGCCTATTCAAAATCTAGCATACACCACATCACAAGTTTCAGACAGAATAGAACAGATATTGATTCGAAATTCTATTCTACCAATCCAGATCAGATAGTCCATGAACCAGTCAATCCATTTTATAACCCAACACATTTGTCAACTCTAGGTCCCACCAAGAACAAAGACATTAAACAATAGAAACCAAGAAGACCTACCTGTAGCAGGTATGGGAAGGCAAAGTCGATCATATTGTTCATCCAGGCAAGTTCAAGAGCGACATCTGGCCGTATCAAGTCATAACAGACAAAGAGGCATGAAGCAAAGCATTCTTTCTTGCCCTGCAGATAAACCACAAAATACAAGGTTTAATTGGAGGCAACAAACAGCCCACAGTTCGATCGAAAGTTCGTTGAACAAGAACGAAACAACAGCAACCAACTGAATGAATGAAATCTCACTTTTCAATGAAATAAACAAGCAATTCTTCAGCGAGTTCACGATCACCAGATTGTGAAGCAGTTTCCATGGCATCTTTATATAGGTTATCCTTCTTAGACAATGCAATCGACTGCTTCCATCTGCCTGCCTTTTTGTAGATATATGCAGCAACACGTCTCATTTCAAGGAGCTCATGCTTCTCAATCTGATATAATACACAACAAGGAGTCCAGTCAGAAATTCATAACAAAAAGAGAGACAGAATACAGGGGCAAACAGCCATCACCTTCTGAGCAAGGCCAATCTGATCAAAGTTATCATGTAAATCAATTGATTCTCTTAATCTATCATAGTCCTCTTCCTCAACATATATCTGATTCAAAGCCTCATTCACAGCAGACACATTGTTGCTCTGAACAGCAACCATATATGGCTTCACAAGAAGCAAGTGCCCAGCCTGAAAAAAAAAACAAAGAAAAGTGACTTTAGCATAGAACCAACGAACTGTTTATCAAATTCAGTACATGCACAGACAAGTTAACTACCTTCCGCATGATGTCAACAACACGAGTATGGTCAACACGGAGAGCCAATACATTTAGGAGATCATTGATAAGATCAGGATGCTCTTGCAAGTAGAAATGCACCGCCTTGTAATATAGCTCCACATTGGCAACCTTGACCACAATATCCTTGAACTGCATGTGGTCCCAGGCCTCCGGAGAATGATTCATTACAGTTGCAGCAGCATTATCGAACTCGTCATATTGGATGTAGAGATAGGTGAGTTCCTTCCAATGCTGCTGTTCATCACATGCTCTGATGAGTTTGGGAATATTGAGACGGGTTGAGAACAACTTAATATGCTCCATAAGCTTCTCATAGCGGTATCTGGCATAGAGAACTCCCAACTCAGTGAAGATGCCCATATGTGCTCGTTCCAATCCTAGACCACTCTCCATCAGAGAAATTAATTCATTGAAGTATCCTCTGTTCTGATAATACTCGCTAACCTCTTCCAGATCATCCACCTGAGGGTAAGCACATGACGGGAAAGAGTAAGAATCATTTTCAACAAACAAATAAGCAAACATGGATCTTAAAAGTGGGAAGGTAAAGACAAACTACATAATTACCTGCACAATGATATTCAAACCACACATTTGGGCCAAGCGAACTCTTCAGCATCAACACAAGAAGCACACTTCCTTCCATTTTTGCACTGTTGGCCTTCCGCGCTGCATCGACAGCACCTTGGAACTGTTTCAGCTTCACAAGGGTACAAGCCAACTTTGCCCAATTTGATATGAAGGCAAATATTATTTTTGCGGCCTCGTACAGAGCATCATCATATAGACGATCACCAACAAGTTGGAGATTAGCCACATTTGGCATAAGAATGAATTCCTCTATTTCACCTAACCTATCAATCTTGGCATATGCAAAAATGAGCTCGCTGTCCACCTTGGGCTCTTTCGTTTTTTGCCTAACCATCAGAAGGTATTTCACCAGATCATGATAGACATCAGCCTCTTCGGCTGCACGAATGACCTCATGAAATTGAGTGGCATCATCTGCACGAATAAATGATTCAATTGCATCAGAAACCAAACCCTCCCTGAGTTGAGCCTTGGCAACTTGGCTCCATACAGCATCTTCTTCAACACGGAATGCAAACTCCACAGCCCGGTCAATGCTCCTGATGTTATCCAAAAGAACATTCACAGCCTGAACATTCAAATTGAACTTCTTGAAAATTGCAAACGCTTCTTCATAAAGCTGAGCTTCAACTGCCACTTCCCCAACAGCAGGACCATCAAAGTTATCCAATCTGTTGATGTAATCCATAACCCTAGAGGGATCTGCCTTAATTGCTGTCAAGATAAGCAGGTTTTGAAGATTGAAGTTGCCACTGAATGCAGAATTTTGAAGCACAATCTTTTCAAGAAGCTCAATCAACTCATGTGGAAGGTCAGCAGTCATGAACGCCTTAACAGCAGCAGAAACCTGTTCTGGGCTCTTGCTTTCAGGTAAGGCCGTAGAAACAACTTGGTCAATGAGCTGACGTCTGTACTCATTTTCAGGGTCAAGAACCTTCTCCCAAAGATCAGATTCCATCCTTTCAACAACATACCTATAGCCAAAAATAAAGCCATGTAAGTCACCAATTTTAGAAGTGACTACTACAAACAAGAAACAGGTTACTGAAAAGTGCCTACAACTCATCGAGAAACAACAAACCTGGCTTGTAATTTAAACAAGGAGTTCTTATTTGTGACATTGATAAGTTCATCATCACACTGCCCTCTTCGGTAAGCCACAACAGCAAGGGTGGGATCACGTTTCTCACAATACTTACCAACGACCTTCGAGTCGTAGTAAGGGTTTGTTGTGAGAAAGTGCTCTGGATTGTTGTTGCTATCAATGATGATCTTACCCAGTGCATTGTGGACATGCACATCTTGGCTTCCCTCACTTACCAGGTGCTCCAAGAACTGAGTAAGCAAACGAAGCCGGTTTCTGCAGAGACGAGCAAAATATTAGTTAGAACAAGTAACAAGACAACATACAACCAGAAAAACGCAGCTAGACACATGCCTCTTTTCACATTCATCTACAAGAGGCTCCACTGGCAGCAGAGAACGAACAGAAAGAATAAGCCCCTTGATGAAATCTTCAGGACATTCGTCATCCAACAACTGCCCAACAACCAATGGAGCATTTCCTGGGTTCACCTACAAAGAGATGGGAAACAAAAGATAAGATTTAAACCAACAACCAATAGAACACAATCCATCAAGACAAGAATCAAACCAAAATGAGAATAATACCTTCTGCACATAACCTTCAATATATCGCAGCATGTTGTTTGTATAAAGATAATGTGTGAGATCCCCAACAAAACCAAAGCGGTCACAGACATTAATCAACGGCCTTGCATCAGGAAGTTTGGCCTCCATAAGAAAATTCTTCGTCTTTTCAGCATCATAGAAATTTGATTCTCTAGTGACACGCTCAACCTCCTTTATTTGTCCAGTTTTAGCAGCAGCTTCAATGTACTTGAAGTGTATTTCAGGATCCTCACTGCTCAACAAAATCAGAAACGAATTTGTAGAACACTTGAATAGATAAGTGGCAACGTGGGAAACAAATGGAAACGAAGCAAAATACCTTGAACTCAAAAACGATCCAAGAAAGAAGTACAATCCTTCATAAGATTTAAATTGTTCAAACAGTTTGATGCACTGATCAATACCCAGCTGCTCACAGTACTCCTTTGCAGCCTGCACAAATGCACACAAATTTTCGTACTCAAATGCACTGAACAAGTTCCTTTCTACTGAAACTGGACAAGGTAATAAGATTACCTGCACAATTATCTGAAGATTTCCTCTCAAATTAACAAGCAATAGATCCTTCATGCACTCAAGGCCCACTCTCGAGAAAGGGTACCAAAGAACTCCACAAGTGCCTGTATAATTAATACAGTGACATATCAGCAACTGTAATTCATACAGTGACATATCACTAGCAAGAACACAAGCTCTGAAGAAAGGTACCTGGGGCTCTATTGCATGTGTATTCACAATGACACGTTTGATATCTGGCAACTCGGCGTAGTGCTGCACAATATATGAATATTTATGTCAATAAATTACAACTACAAAATGTCAACATAAGAGAACATGGACAGTATATCTCACTTGCAAAGCCCGAATGTAAAGCCCAGCTTTTTCACAAAGTTGAGCGATACGAGGGCGATCGTAGTGGCTGAACATTCCATTAGCCAGAATAGCATCAGCAACATTAGGAAATGTTACCAGATTTATTTCCAGGACCTACAAACAGAAGAAGATGAGGAACACGAACACAACAAAGAGATAGGATATCTAATTTGAAAATCTCAATAAAAAATAAATAATGAGGATGTAACCTTAGTTTGCAGGAATGCATGTTCTGGCAAGTTTGGCTTCAAAACGTCCAACAGGAAGGCTGTAGCCTCACGAATCAGGTTCCTCTGTATAAAAATATGATACACCATGCTCCCTGGTATTAGTAAAGTAATAAATCCAGGCCCCCAATGTAACTGAAAAGGGTTCCCCAAAGTACACTTCAGTCAACTAATAAACCAAAAATGAATGTTCAACTAATAACAGACTAAACCTGCAGGAAGAGATCAGTGATAGTGTTGTAGTCAACTGGGCAACCGCCCTCCATTTGAGACATCATCAAAGCAAAGTTCACGGCTCCCTGCAGATCAAAACAAAAAGAGAACCTCCACTAAGCTACAAAGTAGAACTAGGAAAACCTGAACTATCATTTCCATTAGCAACATGAGCTCTATTGCGACACCCACTGATCAAACTCCAAATCATAGTGATATTAGCTCAAGTATCCTGTTTAGGGGTGGTACCTGAGGATCAGTGCGGAGAATTGTTTGCAGAAGGAACAAATAGTCTGGAGTATACCCAACCTATAAATAAATAAATAATTGTTAGATTCACACGATACTATATATATGAAGCTTCCAGTTGTAAATTCCATCAAACTGGAGAACAAGTATGTGAGCATACTTGTTTTGAGTAAATCAGGATTTTATCGAACTCCCTCCTCTCAGCAAATGCAGCTACCACTTTCGGGGTTGCTCTGGCTTTGATGTATATCTTGAGTGCAAGATCATTATCCACAGTCTATATTGGCAGCAAAAGCAAACAATCAGTCATTGCACAAAAGACAGTGGAGTTAAGGAACAGGATAAATGATCATCCAGAAATAAGCATACTTTAACAAGGTCTCCAAGCTCCTCACTGCATTCCAACTTATCCTCCGCCAACCAATTCTCTAAAAGGTTCTTTTTGTTCTGATTTACAACAAGGCGGGACAATTCCAAGGATTCAAACGCATTCAGCTTTCCTCTTGTCAGAAGAGTGCCAAAGTACTGTAAAAGTGGGGGCGTCTGGCCAGCTTGAACAGGAACACTCTGAAACCACAAAAATAACAATAAAATATACTTAGTTTCCGTTCATGAAAGGAAAGATGTAATAGAAGAAGCACGACAAATAATAATATATACCTGGAACTTGGCAACTGTATCTGGTGTTCTGAGGATTCCCTGTGGGGACTCCGCAGCAAGCTCTGCAGCTTCCTTATATTTTGTTTGAGCGAACAGTTCTTGGAAACGTTGCACAACCTGAAATTCCCAAAATTGAAAGTGATTAACCTTAGGGGAAATGCAAGTAAAATGCCAATACCAACAGACAAGTACAGATCATCTACACTTACCAGGTTCTCTGCACCGGGAAGGTTTCCTCTTTTGGCAAGGTTAACAGCAAGCTCTAAATTATTCAACTGCAACACCGAGGCTCGGAATGAAATTTCAAACAAACAACTCAATCCACTTTGAGAGTTAACAAAAGGAAATGACATTTAACTTACTTGTCCACTAACAAATGGTACAATTGTTGCTTCATTTACAGTAGCCAACAACACTTGGCCTCGTCTATTGATGGCATAAAAGCCCCCCAAGGTAGACGCCTCAGATGTCAGAAAAATTGGATCTGGACTGATTCGGTTTCGGTATACAGCAGCAGCTGTTTCCAAGTCATACACAAACAGCAACCCCAGCTTGGTGATAACATAGATCAAGTTGAACTTGTGGGATATCTGTAAATCATAAGTTCACAACCTCATCACCAGAAAGTAAATGGATAACAAATCAACTTAGATTTTGGGAGAGAAGAAGCAATCCTACCTGCATCGCCACAGGAAAGTCATCAGCAAAATCTGGAGGGAAGAAAAGATCTGCCTGCTTCTTGGAAAATGATGGTCTCCCTGCTCACCCAAAGATAATAAGAGCAATGAGTACTAACTTAAGCCAAAAGTTTGACAGCACAAGTCCCAGGGATTAAGAGAGGGAAATTGGCAAATAGCAAACAAAACTGGGTAAACAGACTTGAGAATTAACCTGGTTGAGCACCAAGTTCAATGACATGCAACTTTGAGGTAATCTGCCCAGCATTGAAGGTTTTTGTGGCAAAAGAAATAAGAGTAGAGGGATTCTCATTTCCAGGTACCTGTAAAATAATAGGAGAGGTACACATGAAACCATTAGGATGACAACTAGCCTGAGGAATACCTCAAAGAAAGATGAATGATCTTTCAGGCAGGAGACATTCCCACCTTAAATTGAGCAAATGCAGCTGCATGTGCTTCAAGAGCTTGGCTACGCTGTTGCTCAACAGAGAAAAGTTGCATGTTCCCCTTCACTAGTTGTTGCCTCTGTAAGAAAAAGGCAAAAATTTCTGAGATGCAGTTCGGAAGTAATAAAACTTCAGAAGTACAAAAACGCATAATAGAAATAGCACACATGCCTCTTCTTCACAAGCATGCGGATTACATGATATCTTAGTCGAACAAGCCATGAAGCGTAGATTTAATACAGAATAAAATCAAATACCTCGGGTGACCCTGGAGCAATTCCTATCAAGACTAACCACTTCTCTGAAGGGTCACATCGATAGTTTATTATCTGGTTGCTAGCCAAATTAGCAGTCCTCTCAAACATCTTAACAGGTTCCGAATCACCTGAAGTTGGGAGAAGTTGGATATATCAGCAATCTCAAATTCACCACAATCACATGGATGTTCAGCAACAAACTAAGTGTCAGTACACAAGGGTGAAAAGAAGAATCATGCCTTCTATAGACCAATGATAGCAAGACGACTGTGTTACAAGCCCCAACATTTTCGGTGTTATCCACTTCCAGAAGACAATCTACGCATAAACCAAAGAGAACATCAGATTAACTGAATCCAGGTTGGGGGGAAAATTTCAGGACCGCAACTAACAGCATAAACAAGCCATTTACCTGCTCAGGCATCTGGTAGGACTTCATTTTTGTCTTCATCTCAATGTTAAATATTTGCAAGTGATCCTGAGTGGTGCCAGGAAGTTGGGCTTCAAAAAAAAAAAAAAAACAGAATATCGTCATCAGCAGCTTAGATACACTATCCAATATATAATATGAAAACTATAGCAGATTCTCCATTCTACTCATATGAAAACTACAGCAGATTCTCCAATCTCCTCGAGCCTGCGTCGGACTTACGAAACCCAGAGCATGATGCACTCAGTAGCACCAACTGCTAGGTCAGGATTTTGGTTACTATTTAGAGAGTGCCATTGAACGAAACCTAATAATAAGCACCTAAATGAATATAAGACCCCATATGGAAATTTCTAATTCATCAAAATGGCAAAGATCTAGCCGCTACCATGTATCTTAATTTGTTCATTGGAGTAACACTAGCACTGTTATGATTAACCAACAACAAAAGGAATGTAATACAGCATAGGATCCCCACCTTTCAAAGCGAGAATCCTAGAGTTAGGATTCATAAGAGCAGAGTCTGCTGTGATTGGTCGCCTCAGTGGCTGATTCGGCATGTTCATATCGACAATAACCACACTATTCTGCGGGGCAGTTTCTCGCACGCATATATACTTGTCGGACTCCATGGTCACGTTCGTAAAAGTGATGAACTGCGGACTAATCCCAATGCTTGGAAGCTGCAAAACAAACACCAGATCACGTCTCAAGCTCGTTACCGAATGACCTCAGAGCTCCCAATTCCATCAATTACTTTGCAGATTACAGTGCGAAGATAACAAATCAGCAGATCTAAACAGGTTAGTGCACGAATCAGATCTGCATCGCCTATGAGGATCACTAAGCGCATAGCAATCGTGAGCAATCCCGCGAAATTCAGGCTCGATTATCGTCAAAGATCCGAAATTCAGTAACGGATGGGAGCTTCGAAGCTTCGAATCGTGGGAGCCAGTGAAAGGAAGAGTAGGCTAAGGGCTAAGGCTACTTACCGTCAGCACTTCCTTCATGGTGATCGGTGCTGCGCCTGCGGTCGACATGGTGCCGGTTGGATCGACTGCTAGCGGACAACTAGATCTGCGAATGGCGTCGAACCGTCCGTCCCACGGGAGAGAGTCAAACCGAGAACGAAACGAGGGATTCGAATCGCTGCGAGATCTAGGGCAGCGACAGACCCCACTGCTGCTGAATCAATCAGAAGGATAGAAGAAAGAAGGAGAATGGGAAAATGATCTACAGAGTAAGAACGAAACGAGAAAGGGAGAGTGAGAAAGGTCTCAAACGGAAACCCGACGAAGAAATGCCAACGAGAAGAAGAAGCCGAGATCTCATCTTAACTCTTAAGGGAAAAAAATTATTGGAAAATAAAAGGTAAATATTTTATTTTATATCTAATAAATATATTTTTTAAATTAATTTAGAATCTGACGAACTGAGGAGAGGGGACGTGTAAAAATGTGCCTCTGCGAATTTTTGGTGTTTTTGTGAGTGGAGACCGACTGACTCCGATTCCCATATTCCCGATCCGACCCGACCCGGTATTTTATATTTTATATATTTTCACCTTAGAATAACGGAATAAGTGCGCATCAGTCTCGTAAATTTATCTTTGGGCATCTTGGGACCTATAATCACACTTTACAACATTTCAGTCCTTCCAAATTAAATGCTGTCATTCTTTTTTTTGGCGAAATAGAGTGCCAAAGGGCGCTCCAAGATTCATAGTGCAAGGGGTTTCATATATAAAAATATGGTATAAAATCATCTTGAGAGCTATAATCAAATGCTCACCAAAGCTAAACTATGGTATAAATATATGCAATATAATTGACAAATAACCGCTTCAAACACATGCACTACATTAACATGACATTTAAGAACAGGAGCTTTCGCCACTAATACGTAATGCAGGATGGCTTGTTGTTGCAGTCACAGATTGGAGCAACTTAATTGCTATGTTCTATTAGTTTGTAATACGACCTTTTGATCACCATATTGCAAGCATTTTGCAGGTTATGCACGAATCTCGACAACTTCGTACAACTATTGGATCCTCGTCTCTTATTCACAGTAAATGGCATGAATAAGCAACCATCATCACTACAAATCAAACACACATTTGGTTTGCTTGATTCAATTCAATTCAATTTGCTCATAATTTATTTTCGGTCAACTTTTTCTTTATATTTGATATAATTCATGTATCATATCGAATAAATTCACTGCAATATACAATTTGGTACTTGGTCGGATCATTGCACCCCCTTTCCGTCATCTTTTATTGTATATTCATACCTGAATCTGTAATTTATCTGAAATATAAGTCTTGCATGTGGCATTTATTTTTGTCTAAAATGTATTTCTTAATTCCTAAGATTATTCATAATAGATGATTAGGCTAATTATCTCACATCAAAAAGTCGTAAGCATTAAGAAACGAATTTATAATGTAATTTTGTAATTATCTACAATTGCCGAATCTTAAATTGATGCACTGTCATCAGTGCATGCATAATAATATACATGTATATAAGAAAATTGGTGTATTGTAGTTTATATTGTTCATTTCTGTGATAGTTGTTGTAGTATTTAAATAGGTTCTATTACTTTTTTGGTGAAATGTCAGTTTCAACCTCTTTTTCAATATAAAAAGCATCATATATAAAAAGGTAGGGACATAGTTAGAACAAAAAAAACTCCAACAATCTCATTCAAAACTTGGGATTTAATTATCACTCATTTTGAGTGATAGTTTGTGTCGAATCAAGCAAACAATACATGTATTGTTTGTGTAGAAAATTAAAAAAAACAATGCATTGTAACTATCCCAACCAAACAATCACCAAAACCAAATGACCCAAAAAAACAAACTAACGTCCACTGGCCCAACCCACTTGATAAGACTGAAGATAACCAATGCAGCCAGACTTTCAGCCTTCACGAGTGTCATCAGGCAACACCAGCAAATTGGAATACTGTTAGAAACACATTAATTGCAGTTTTTGGTTATTTCGTATTATTTGTCGGTTTTTTATAATTGGGGGATTATTTGGGGAATTCGGGAAATAAACAGGAGTCGATTGTTATGTTTTATTAGTTGGGTAGGAGATAGAAATTATGTGGACTATATAATCTGTAATTAGTGAGATTATTCACATTATGCAATTACAGAACAATTATCTAAAACCCTAATCCTCCCTCTCTCTTCCCTCTCCCACGTCTCACTCTTCTTCTTCTTCTTTCCCTAAGGCTGCCGCAACAGTCTTCCCTCCCAACCCACTCTCCATCTCTCTCACTCTTCCTCCTCAAAATCCCTAGCTTGGGCAATCTCTCATTGCTCTAGCTATTTTTCCCAATTTCTTGAGTTGTTAGAAAGTTTGTTTCTAACATATGGTATCAGAGCACGGTTCGAGAGCGAGTTTCACGTAACTCTTGAACCAGGGCAGACGTAAGAAGACAATGGTGCTAACTAAGTCTCAATCCGCAGCAGAGAAGGCGGCTCAGGCGGTCGAGAAAACCACCAAGGCTGGCGACAGGGGACTCGACGGTGTGGTGGAGGACGAGACGGAGCTCGAGGCGGTGAAGGTGGTGGTGCACGAGCACTCAGGAGCACTGGCTTGGCTCGAGGAAAGCCTGGTGAGGGTGCAGGTTGAAGCGAAGGCAGATGCTGAGGATCTTCGCTAGAGCTGGAGGACCTAATGCGAGCGGTTGCTTCGCTGCAGGCAAAAGGGGCCCGAGCAGAGATCGCGCCGTGCCCGGCCGTGTTGGCGGCCAACGGTGGCGGCGCGTCTGGCGCGGCTGGCGGGGGATCGACCTCTTCGAGACCATCTCTGATCCCGGCCGAGTCGGCGATCGTGGTCGGTGGGGCGACAGGCGGCGGGTCCTCCTCTGCAAAGACGGCAGCGGAGTGGTGGGCGCGACGACGACTGAGACCGAGGGAGGAAAGGCGGCGGACGTGGAGCTCCACAACGTGGATCGCGCGGCCGTCAGAGCGCGTGTCCGCGGTCGGGGGTCGGCCTACTACCGACACCGTCGGCCCAAGAGATCGCGACAATGAGGGGGAAGGCAAAGATGCCAGGGTATGACGATGATGGGCCTCAGTTGAGCTTCGGGCTGCACGAGCAGATGGGCACGGACGAGGAGGTCGAGCTGAGCATGACCGGGCAGGCAGGGAGCTGGGTCGAGCCGGGGAGGAGCGCAATCGGGCGGGGCGCGTCGAGGGAGTCGGATCAAAACCCTGGGTGGGGCCCGGACAAGGACGGGTGGACCGGAGCGGGCCGAACCGATATGGGGTCGGTCAGGATGGGCCGGCTCGGGTGGGGTCGAGCAGGGCGAACCAACGGGGCGAACCAGTCGGACCAGGTCCTGGGTGGCAGGGAAGCTGAAGCCAGAAGGGAGATCGGCCGGGATTCGGGACCCTCTTACCCGCCGTTTCATGGCCCCCGCTCGCCAGCTGAACAGTGGGATGCAAGTCAGGCATGGAAGGTTGGGCCGGACGAGTATGTGGAGTACCCGTTCGAGGAAGAAGAGGAGTGGGGCCGAGGTAGAGGGTCGCCGGTCTCGCGAGGCTTTCGCGATCGAGTTTCGTGAGTCTACAGGTATGGCAGTTACCCTTAGGGCTTCGATGGTGACCTGGTGTTTAGGGTTAAGCCTCCTACCATTGAGTTTTCGAAATTCAATGGACAAGAGGATGCAGGCTTTTGGTTGTACGCAGCTGACAGATGGTTCAAGAACCATCCCACCAAGGAAGAGAGAAAGGCGCATCTAGCGTCTTTCTACTTAGAAGGCGACGCATTGCAGTGGTGTGAGTGGCTGGAGCGATCATGTGCAGGGCCTAGACCTTGATCACTTGGTCGTTGTTCAAGGAGGAGTTGTGATACCATTTCGGTAAGTCGGAAGGGTGGGCGCCGGAGCAACTGGCTAAGCTGCGTCAGATGGGAACTGTGGCAGAGTAAAAGGCAGAGTTTTTCAAGCTGGGCAATCAATGCAAGGGGGTAACGGAGGAGACCTTGGTTGGATTGTGTATGGCTGGCCTCAAGCTAGAGATCGCCGCGGCGGTTAAGGTTTTCGAACCCGACTCGCTACGGTCTGCTTTTCGTCTTGTAGATTATAAAGAGGAGGAGCTGGCCAGCTGGAGGAGTACGATTGGGCGCTTCCAGAGAGCAGGCAAGAGTGGGGGAGGTGGCATCGGGTCGGGCGGCGGAGGAGCGAATGCGCCCATTGGCACAGGGTCGTCGACAGTGGGCGTCGTCACCTCAACTCGGCAAGTTCCTAGGCCTCTCCCAAAGGGATTGGTGCGACTATCACTACAGGAGATCGAGCAGAAGAGAAGAGAGGGGAAGTGTTTCAATTGTGACAAGAGGTTCACCGTGGGACACAAGTGCACCAAGCCCGATTTGATGATGCTGGTGGGTCGCTGGGAAGATGAGGCAGAGGAGGAAGCAGCTGAAGAAGGGCCGCCAGAATTGGAGTAGGAACCACAACCTTGAGGGCAAGGTTGTTTTCCAAAAAGGCGGGGATGTTAGAAACACATTAATTGCAGTTTTTGGTTTTTTCGTATTATTTGTCAATTTTTTATAATTGGGGGATTATTTGGGGAATTCGGGAAATAAACAGGGAGTCGATTGTTATGTTTTATTAGTTGGGTAGGAGATGGAAATTATACGAACTATATAATCTGTAATTAGTGGGATTATTCACATTATGCAATTACATAACAATTATCTAAAACCCTAATCCTCCCTCTCTCTTCCCTCTCCCACGTCTCACTCTTCTTCTTTCCCTAAGGCTGCCGCAGCAGTCTTCCCTCCCAACCCACTCTCGATCTCTCTCACTCTTCCTCCTCAAAATCCCTAGCTTGGGCAATCCCTCATTGCTCTAGCTATTTTCCCCAATTTCTTGAGCTGTTAGAAAGGTTGTTTTTAACAAATACGGGCCCAACCGTATTCATTGGCCTGAAGGGCTTCGACAGTTTCAGGCCATAAAGTATGTGTTAGTGGAGGGTGTTGTAGGTCGAATAAAACAATGGGATCAAGCTGTTGGGATCGTACTAGCATAACAGTATAACACCCTGGTCCGGTTGTTAAAAATGAACCGTAAGGTTGGTACTTTTAGGTCTTTAATTATCCAGGAGTTGACTTTTCTTAAGAGAAAGAAATTTTTGCAACGTGTTTCCGCCTCCAAATCGCGGCATCGATTTAGGAACCCCAATTATAAGCCATTCATCCCCTAGAAAGCAAAACGATAGTAAGCAGAAAAAGGAGTACAAACAACAACCAACCAGTCGAGGCCAGCTGCCAAATATGACTGACCAACTTCCTGTGTTGGACCCAACCCAGCAGCAAAGGCTGAAAATTGATATCGTTTGTTTACTCTTGCCGGTCCTTCTAATTAGGAAGGCGGCAGAGATCTCGATATCCATACCCATTG